ATATACTCAGTCTATTCGCTCAACAGTTCACACCCTTCCATTGTAAGTCTAAAAAAGAAGGAACTAAATGAATTCTTATTAAAAGCAAAATATTTTTTTATTACTTAATTCAGTCGATCTGAAATCAACATTTTCATTTAACGTAACATTGAAAAAATCGACATCTTCCATTTGTTCAACAGAGAAAAAGTCGATATCAGTAAGCTCAGCGAATGAGAAGTTGACATCAATCAATTTAGCATCAGAAAAATCAATATTTATAAGCTTACTACATAAAAAGTTAATATCTACCAGACGAGCAGAAGAAAACTCGACTCCTGTCAAAATGGTATCTGTAAAATCACTTCAAGAAAAATCAGTCGATGAAATATCAACATCAGTCAATGCTGCGAAAGTAAAATTTATAGAATACAATTGAGCATCAGAAAAATCGATTTCAATAAGGTTAGCATCGGAAAAGTTCACATGATCAAGCTCACCCTCAGAAAAAGTACCTTCTTCAAAGGCAATTTCAGTGAAATCAACATCTCCTGCCGTCATTTTAGCAAAATCTACATCGAAAAACTCGGCATTTGTAAAATAAACGATGGATAATGTTACATCAGTAAATTTCACTTCTGAAAATTGCGCCTCGAGAAAATAAATATGTTGAAAATCACAAAAAGAAAAATCGGCATTTGAAAAGTCTATTTCATCAAATGAACAATTTTGAAAAAAAAACATACATCTAATTAGAATTTTCTAAACTTTGTGAACTTCCTAAATCTCGAAAATTTATATCAATTAATTTTGCTGTTGAAATATCTAATGCTGGTTGTTCTTCTGAATAAGTGAATTGTTTCGCTTCATAAAGAAAACGAATCAAATGTATATTACGTGTTCCATCTAACTGTCGAATTGCATTTAGTGTTTTTACTCGTGAAAGTGTATTGATTAAACTATTCGATGTTAATAAACCATTAGATTTTTCTAAAAGTTCACCGATTTCTTTAATATAAGTCGAAAGTACTTCATCTTTGTATTGTTCGCTAATTGCTTTCATTTGTGTTTCTTGTTGGATTGTTAAAACATAAAGTTCTTGTGCACGTTGAAGATCAGTTTCATTTCGATCTTCTAATCTTTGTTCACGAGCTAATTGACGATCTTCTGATCGTTGTTTTGCAGCTGTTGATTGTTGATTAAGAGTTACAACAACAGTAAAGATTCCTAACATTAATGGAAGAAATAATGACAAAATAAAATTGAACAATTTTCCAATTGTTAGACCAAAACATTTTCGAGATTCTTCTACCGTTTGTGTCGTTTTGTCTCTTAATTCCATTCTGATTTGATTAAAAATGATTTTTTACAGTAATATTTTTGATTTATTCGATGTCAAAACATTTTATTTGATAAAAATATCATTCATTATTAATGAAAGGAGTTTTCAAGCTTTATCATTGACATATTCAATTATATGAGCTTTATTAAACATGTCTGCCATTCTTTCATATTTTTATGTACTGAGAAAATGTTTGTCTATCAACATAGCAAAATGATCACTCTTTTGATACAATTCTTTTTTCTTCATATGAATTTTCTTATCTACTCATATTTTTATTGAATCAAATTAGAATAGAATGTGGGTGTACGTAGCTGATGAAGAGAGTACCTCAATACTCTCACCCATATCCACACTCTCACACATCCTCAAGATGATCTTTTATAATTTACTCTTATTTTCCTGAAAATAGTGCATTCAGAATAAAATATAGTAGTCTTTTTTTAAGGACTCCGAGACTCCGCATACAACTGTAGCCCTTCGAAGTCTTGTGAGGTCCCGGAGTTCCTGGATCTGCTGTTTTCCCATTGGAGATTTATCTAGAAGCCAAACTCGAGCTTTCTTTTAATGAAAAAGTACCTGATCTTCCCAAGTTACAGTCCTGGCTAAAAATATAATATCACTTGAGTGAACGTAATTCTTTGCTTATTATCAAACACCAACAATTTTTGATGAGGATAAATTATACGTCACTACATACACTCGATTATGCTCTATTTAAATAAGGCATCGAATTTTCTCCACTTTGTTTGCATCTTTAAAAAAAGAATGACCTATGAAAAAGTAATGATTTTTCCTTGGCCAAAATTATAGAACTACGTATGGCCACATTTTCGTTATTTATAAATCAGAGGAACTGTAGTTTCCCTTGTGCGTTAACTTGTTTCGTTGAAATACATGATATGAAAAATTATAACAATTTCACTTAATAATTCAAAATTACCTTGTCCCTGTTTTTCAAATAAATAGTTGATACCGCTTCTAAAACATTTGAGAATGCTCAGAAAGAGGTCGTCTATCTGCCTGTGTAACTTTTGAAAAAACTACAGTTCCTCTGTTCTTTTTTCAAAATGGGTATGGGTGTGGGTATAGGTGTGGGTGTGGGTGTGTGGGTGTGTGGGTGTGGGGTGTGGGTGTGGGTGTGGGTGTGAGTGTCGGTGGGTGTGGGTGTGGGTGTGAGTGTCGGTTGGTGTGGGTGTGGGTGTGGGTGTGGGTGTGGGTATGAGTGTCGGTCGGTGTGGGTGATGATCTCTTCTTTTCCTACACCCACACCCACACCCCGTCCCGATATTCTATCGGTGATTAAGAGCACAAAGGCTCATACACAGATCGTCACCCGATAGAGCATCGTCGATAACTCGAGGATTGGCTCGAGATGATTACTTGTTGTTCGTGCAATTAGAAAGAAAAGGCTTCGTGAAATCTAATTAGTTGATTCTTGGGCCAGTCAGATTGCGAAATTCTATTTCATCGGAAGAGAAATGACCGAGACCCACACATATAACCATGAATCAATGAAGTATCCGCTACAATCCTAGGATTCGCGGGAACAAGACTGGTGGTTGTCCGATCAGATAGTTAAATGAACGCAATTTGAAATCCAGTTGTTGGAAACGGAATGAATCAGATGTCAGGGGGAGTGTCGGTTAATGCTGTCGTGACGATCACAAGTGTTGTTCGGGATGGTCTCCACACTTTGCACTGCACTTTCTTCTCTAATGGATTATTTCAGGGCTTCGAGTTACATTCCACAGAGAAAAAGTACAGCTGAGGAATAGCCCATTCTCTCACTATGTGGTTCTGGAAGATTCAAGCTTTCACCTTCTACTGCAAGTGGTCATTAAGGGGCAAAGCACACCCATGAATAGCGTGCTTCGGTGGAGAGCCGTGTCGAATAAGATGACTTGAGCACACATGGTCACAACGAATATTAGGATATGTCCCCGTATGATTACCGATATAGTACGGCTTGTGGAGCGAAGGGCTCTGCTTTACAGGCAGCCCATTGCGAACAAGGGTACTCATTCGGTACGAGTCGATGGCCGATGGTGACACTCAAGGAGTAGGTCTAGAGAACCAAACAGATTCTCTCTAGAGCGACTGCTTACGACCTGACGGTAGCGCTCAATACGAGAACATAAGTGCTTCAGCGTATTCCCAATATTAGGAACCGTTGATGAAAGCGTAGCTCAAAAGAGTAGCTTTACAGGACCTAGGCGTACATCTTGGGCTACCCATAATAGTGCGAATGGACCACCCAGTAGTATCTCTCCTTTCAAGAAGTTCAGGATCGAACGGTACATCCTAATAGTAGTAATTCAGGAACTCACAGTATCGTTCATTACTCGAACTTTCGGATCTAAGGGTACCCTACGATTTACGCGTGACGAACAGAGGGTTCCTCCTATAACCGAGCCCGAGCAGCCACCGAACACCTATAGTATGGTGTGGGGATTCTGCATGGCGTCCATAAGATAATCATTCAGGAATTGGCAACACTCGTATAGCATAGTCCACGAGGACCTGTGTGTATCCCTACATAGAAACCCTTCGGGACTTATGCGCACCTCCATCTGATAGCCCTTCAGGAACAGTGGGTACCGTATAAGGTAGCCCTTGCGAACCTATGGCTACCCCTATAACGTAGCTCTTGAGCACCGATGGCTTCCAATATCAGGTCGCCCTTCAGGACCTCGGGGTGCCACTATATAGTAGCCCTTCAGCACCTATGGGTCCCCTATAGTATAGCATTTCGGGGCCGATGGGTCCCCTATAGTATAGCATTTCGGGGCCGATGGGTGCCCTATATAGCAGCCCTTGGAGACCTATGGGTACCCCTATAGAGTAGCCCTTGAAAACCTATAGGTATCCCTATATAGTAGTCCCTCAGGATCTATAGATGGCTCTATATGGTAGACCTTCAGGACCTATGGGTACCCCTATAGGGTAGCCTTTGAGGACCTATGGGTACCCCTACAAGTAGTTCGGCTCGTTCAAATGAGCTGTTGGAATAGTTTCGCTCATACGAAATGAGCTGTTTCAAAAGTTCGGTTCGCTCAAATGAGCTGTTCGAACAGTTCAGCTCATTGGAAACGAACTGTTCAATTAGTTCAGTTCGTCTCAGTGAGCATTTTCAACGGCTTATTCGTTGTGAGCTTGAGCTGAGCTTGTGTACCCCTATTATTTATCTTGGAAGTAGAAAAAAAACCACTGCTGATAGTAAATCAGCTGTGCCATTCTCCATTTTCTTATTGATTCTTTTTCTACACAAATAAAAGCAACTATTCAAGTGTCCTTTGTGCACATACATCGACTTTTTGCAAAAAATGTAATGAAAAGGCATGTGCATTAGAGGGAGCGGGTGAGAATGACGATGGGTGTCGGTGACTAAACCACATTGGTAGTCGACTATTAATATAGTATGCAACTTGATGGAATTGATATATGAAGAAGAGGAACGGGAATTAATACATGTCTTTTTTGGAAAGAAGTGGTCTCTGATAATAAAGGGCGAGTGTTTCTATTTTTGTTTCTATCTTCTAGCGGGAGCTGACAGACAGGTCAGTTTAGTATAAAATTGGTATTGAAAAGTCTGTAACCAAGCTCAAATGTGGTTTGGTTGTTCTCTACAGCTAATTGGCATCACAATTTTATATCGTCGAAGTGGCAATGTCTTTTCTGAAAACTTTAACAAAAAGGGTGTGGGTGTGAGTGTGGGTTCTGTTGAAGAAAAGATTCATACCCATACCCACATCCACACACTCAAACAGAATTAAAGGATTGAGGAGGTCCAAACGGTTCATTCAGCATACAACTGTTGTCGAGGAATATTGGGAATGGATGGATCAGAATCCATTATCAAAGACAATATACGGTTCCCACAAGAAGATATTGATCTGTTAGAAGAATTCCCAGAAATCTTTTGAAGCTGCAGGTGGACTTGGTATATCCCTTTTTCCTCACTACTCATTCTCTGATTATGATTACAACACGTTGTTGTTGTTGATCTATTTCTAGTCTTGTTGTTCACTCAGACTGATCTATCTTCTGCTCGTGTTTATTTAATTGTTATTGGTTTAGGTAATTACTGTGGCTCTTTTTTTTTACAAATAATTTCTTTTTTTTCCATTTTTTTTTCTTACGTTTACTTCTTGTTATGTTGCTTCTCGCTTTCTT